GATATTGCCCTGTAAAAATCAACTTCCAAAGCTGAAACAAAAAAGAAATATGAAATGGTTTCACAGAGAATCTAGTTCAAATTATTTAACTGCTTGATAAATTCTCTTGAGAAATTCTCTTGTGAATTCCACTTGTCAATAAGAACCTGGGAGCGGACCTCCTGGCTGGCTCGATGGCGCCCATCCTCGCTATCGCTGTTCGACTCATCAGACAGGCGTTTTTTCTCTGCCGCAGCTCGTTCCCTGATGTAGTCCATGCGTCTGCTGCGACTGAGCTGCTGGGAGAGCAGCGACTGCAGCTGGGCACGCTCTATGGAGCCCAACAGGATCATTGACTCTGGGTTAGGAGACAGAGATGCATGGGGTGAGAACAAGAGCGATACAAAAACCAAGGAGGATAGAAAAGGTATAAGGTGATTTATTAGCAGAGTGCAACAGAAGGAAAAGAGAAGGAAGAGGAGGAAAAACAGAGATGGTAGAAAGAGATTTAGGGAAATACTGCGAGCAGAGGGCTGCAACTTCCAAACAAACAAATCTACTGCAGAGAAGTCTGCATAGTTGCATAACAAGTGCCCAGAAGGCAGCAAATGTCCAATAATTAGCGTGCATGTGTTGCCGGCTTTAAGTAACTGCCTTTGTGACGGTGCGTGCAGATTAGGTGTTTGGCTAAATGCCGCAGCTAATTGTTCCTGTACCACTGTATAATTGAAACAGTGTTGAAATACCCAATTTGCACTTTAATGAGGTGACTAAGGCCATCAGCAAGCTGTGCCCAGGCAGGTTTTTTTCTATCAATCAGTCACTTTGATGAGGACAGCACTGGGATTGCAGAAAGTTTGAATTTAATACCAGCTGGAGGGCGCACTGGGAGAACAAAATTGGCAACACCGAACAAAGATACCCCCGACGTTAGAGGCACCGCATTATGGATTTTGATTTGCAAAACCTTTTTAAGATGTTATTTAGCCCCTTAAAAACAGATGTATGCTGAACTAATGTGTGGAACAAAGGTCGACGAGTTTGAAGCTGTAGGTCACTGACAGGCTGATTCACTACAAAAACATAAACCTGCCAGGAACAGAAGTGGAGTTTTTGTACCATTTCTTCCAATAATTTCTCATAAAAACATGGTCAAATATCGTTGCACTACAACATCATTAATATAATCTTACTTGCTAATAGTATAAGACTTTTAATCTTTTTAATAATAAAGCAAATAATGTCAACAAGTTTTTCAGTCAATAAAAGAATGTTTTTTTCCAAAACTAAAATCCTCATATTATCATTGTAGGTCGCCTATAAAAAGTATTCACTCCTTGTGGAAACTTTATCAATGATGATCAACAAAACACCCAAGGGAGTGAATATTTTTACTTTAAACTCCAAATACTGACATATTTGTTTATTTTGGGATATGGTTTACCAATTAACAATAAATATGTAGCAGGGTGCAATAAATCCCAACATTTTAACTGGCAAATTGGGATTTTAAATTGTTTTCATTTGATTTGTTTCTGCCAAAGGAAAATATGAGCAGAGAAATTAGATGAGGGACCAAATGGTTTCTTGTATGGAGATAAACTACCTTCAGCTACAAATAAAACCCTCACTGTGTCTTTCAGTGGTTTCACAAGACACCAGAACCAGGTTATTTATATATAACTCTGTGTTTTGCATGGATGTCTAGATTTTTTTTAACTCACCAGCAGATTCCACTAAAGCCAGAGTCTTGAGATGTTTTGACATCAGGACGTTGCGTAGGTCTCGGTAGCAGCAGTTGAGTGTGATGTACGGTACATCCCGCACCATAAAGTCCTCCACACGGATGTTGTATTTCCTGAGACAAACATGGAAGGAAAGGAGAGTAAATGAAATGTGAGGTGAAAAAAATAAGTGTCTATTGTTTCATTGAGATGAGGCCTGAGGCTGAAACGGTGTTCTATTCATTGGCTAAAAATATAACCACACTCATGTTTAAAAGTTCGAACTACACAAGCTTCATAATATTTCTAAGTTATTGCCCTTACATATATGATGACTGCACAGCCTTTCAGCTGACTGGCAAACACAATAAAAAGTCACAATGTCAACACATCTTTCAGTTGTTACTGCATCACCATGTGCACTTCAGGTGAAGCTAGGTGACACTGCGTGAGCACTTCTCAGCTCAGCAGAATCACACGCCTCAGTACACCAGTTAGATACACTCAGATTTCTCTTCCTGCTGGAGCCGGCCAAGAACTGCAAACACGACAGCCGTCGCTTAATGGCTTCCGCTGCCAAGACCGTCAGCCGTGCCAAGACACGGACTGCGGCCAAACCTTCACTTTTCAACCGGTGACAACTCGCTGTGCTGACCTTTCCTCAGATGTAAAAGAACAAAATTGATGGCCATGCTTTCCAAGCTTCAATTCAATACATATAATGTACAACTCTAGTCCAGGAGGCCTCTTAGGAAGATGAAGGAAACCTATCAATAAACTTCTGTATATTAGAGCATAGGAAGAAGAAAATAACACAGAGCAACTGGCTATAATTTTAAAACTATAAATCACACCAGGTTTAAATTAGTTTCCTGAATTATTTGTATTTTCACCATTTCAGAAGTTTGTTCACTATGAATTATGTATGCATTAGTTGAAACCAGAAGAGTCAGCTGTAAGCTTTTTGTTCTCACTAGCTGAAGCTAGATCAGGCCAAACATCTCTTGTTTTAGGCCAGTTAGAATAACTAAACCAAAGTCACATTAATGAGAGACATAATTGGTCAGATATGTATAGTATTGTATCATTTTGCAATAAATTTAAATATCACAAACATTAGAAGGCTTTGAATTAGAGGGCTTTAGGTTTATTTCTGTTAACTATGTAAAAATGAACATTTTGCACAGTAAACTTTTCACAAACATTTCAGAATTCACTTCTCAATGCTAGGACTAAAACATGAAGAAAAAAAAAAACTAACAATTTTGTCACCTTATTTTTTTAAAGAGCAAAATGGTTCTTCTAGCGCCAGACAACTGTATCATCCCAAATATGAAAAAGGCCTTGAAGAAAGTTTCCTCTTTGCACTGTGCTTGCTGACAGCGTTTTAATTTGCATGTGGATGAGAGAGAGTAATGTAAGTGCTTGCCTCTGAACTGGCCACAGGAGCTGCCAAGGCAAATTTCCCCTGAGGTGTCAAAGGTGGAAGATATCTAATTGTTTTTCCTCTTAATTCATCCAAGTTTTCTTGTAATAGTTGGGAATAGAATCTGATCAGGCATCCTGCATTCTGTATAAACTGTATAACCTGAAAGATTGTTTCACTTGGTTTCCCCAATAGCACCAACTGATGCTAAATAAGACCGACACCTTGGAATTCTGATTAAATGAATACTCTGCAACTTTTACATTTTGCAGCGACTAGTTATATGTGGCCTAATCAACGTCAACAAGGTGCAGCAAGGCTCAGGTTTCACACTGAGGTGAGGTGGAAAAAGTGTTTAAAAAAGCAGAGGTGACAAGCGAGCTGTGATGAGAAAGGTTATGTAATAGTTTCTACATTTAGAAGTAAAAGCCATTTTTTTGAATAACGTATGATGATGATGAAGCCATTGAAAAAGACTTTAAATATGCATGAACATATAGAAACTGTGTATAGTTGAATTTGTATGCGATTCAAATACCTGACTTTGCAATGCAGTCTAGAAGAAAAAAGATCAAAGTTTCTTCCTCGAAGATAAATGCTGATAAATGTACATGCCATTATGCTGTCTTTGTTGCAGAGCAGCCATTATTATAAGTGTTCCTTTATAGTGTTTTGTACATCCATCAAAAATGGATAATTTCATGATTGAACCTTCCAAACCTTTCTGTGAAATAATTATGTAATAATGTCTGATATGTTTGATGATAGAGTATCCTGTCAAGACAGAGTCAGGAGTACGTAGTAAGAGTCGTTCTTTTTTTTTTTTTGCCACAAGCAAAGTAAAATAGAGTTATATTGTAGGGCTTGAGACTAACTTTTTACACTGGTTTCAATCAACTATTTTTCTTAGATTCACCCAAATTTTTGATCACATTTAGACCCTTTTGTTAAACAAAGACTGTTTTGCTCAAAAATAAACTGGGTGAATTTGTCACCTTGTGTACAAAGAGTTCTGTGCAAATAAACACGCTCTGCCTTTGCAGCCAAGGGGAATAACATCACTGAAAGAACTGCAAAACAAAGTCAATATTGAGATGTGTTTTGTAAAATATGCAGAAAAATTGAATCTGTTCCTTTCGTAGAGAACAAATACTCTTGAACTTGTTAGAAGATGTATGTTTGGATAATTTCCAAACAGTTTCAAAGCAGTCATTTGAGCTTCCCACTGCAATGGGAGCAGAGCAGAGTTGTTTGACTGATGTTTTTCTTGCAGCCTCTTGGGACCCTGTGCTCTGCAAAGGATGAGGCAGTTCAGGATGGGGAATGCAGTACTGCCTTCGTACACAGAAGTATATATGAATAATGACTTAAAGAGAATAAATTAATAAAAAAACATAAAAGTAAATGCTAATGTGTGTATCTGGTTGCTTGAATTTCACACCACGGTGAGTAAACAGACTTACAGAGCTTTGTTTACTTTTAAATTTTTTATAACCCACACATGTAACTTTATAAAAATGTTTGAGAAGTATTTTCAGAGGATGGCCCAATAAGAACTGATATCTGAGAGCCACCTACTGATCTCAAGACAACAAAAATAAAAGCCAAAAAATAAATAAATTGAAGAAAATTTCTTTCTTTACCTGATCCTGGACACAATGCCAGTCCCACTGGTACATGTACTCAAATGCTGGATTTTACAATAGATATGACAGAATATTCAATTGTGGTGGTGGTATAGTGAAGGGAAGAGAAGCTTTTCCAGCAAAAATGATTAAGAGTGACATTCATTGTGCCCTTATTGCGAACTAGACACATTTGGGTTATTGTTCCAATGTAACAGTTTGCAGATATCCAAGCAAAGCTGTCAAATGCCAAGTGCAAATGTTTGAATGGGTGCATCTCTGAGGACACCCAGCAAATCCTGCAAAGGAAAAGAACCTCAATACAGAAAATCTATCAACAAAAACTGCTAAAGCTGCAGTTGAAGCAGATGAAGCCAGAAGTTTACATACACTCAATAAAAATACATGTATTTTGTCCTTCATTGTTTAAAAGGTCTGAAGATGGTTTGCACTCTTTTATGGATGTATTAATAAAATGAGGAATAAATGCTGTACTAGTCTGAAGACTGAAAACTACTCCACTTGTCTGTGGACAGCAGGATTACAGTCTGACAAGACTCTTACACTGCTCATAGACAGGTGCTATTGCATATTTGCTTTAGACTCTTCATCAATATATTATGCTGTACGTACTCATGGTGAACCCAGCCCAGCTCTGGTAGGTAGGGCAGCTTCTTGATCCTGATAAGAGAGTCGTAGAGTGATGGCTGCACAGACTGAGCGACGACGTTGGCCAGTATAACAGCTATTATCACCGGCAGGATGTGGGAGATCTGACCAGTCAGTTCAAACACAATGACCGCAGTTGAAACGGTGTGGGTGACCGCTCCTGACAAGGCTGCAGCACCTGTGGATGGGGGAGAACAGCAGAACAGGCAACTCTCAGTGTCATGGTAAGCTCTGGAACACCAGGGGTCGTGTTAACTGAATATTTTCTGAATGGTTTTATGAAATTTTGCTGGAAACCTCGGAAGGCTATGTGTGATCTTGACAAACTGCAATTCAGACCTCTGACCCCTTGGTGCAAACACGTAGATGTTTTCAATTTTACGCACAGAGTACATCGTGGAGGAAACTAAATATATCAATCAATCAAAAAGCTGAATCACCTCTGACCTGAACAACATACTCAATGTATCTCACTATCTGGGAGCTGAGCATGTTGAAGAGGCTTTAGAGTACATCCTGGTTACAGGCTGATGTAGCTGGACTACTTTGTGGACAGGAAGGGCATAATTTAAATGCAATGTTTTAATTTAATTGTTTATATATAGTAATCCGGACGACAGTTGGTTTTTAACATGTGGGTTTTAAACAAGTATTTGTCTACTGAATGTGTGATGGCAGGGTGCGTTATCTGTTCTGAATATTAATTAAGCTGAATGAAAAACAAATGTCATTGAATTTGTTGTCATAATTTTAAAAATTGACAGGTAAAAACTGATTATAACTGACTTTATTCGACCCTGTCAGTCATATGAGACAACAAAAATGACTGGTATAATCTCTGATCAAAACGGTCTTAAGAAGATGTTTAAGAATATCACAAATTAAGATTCTAGTTGTTAAAGCTACTTTTCTTTATAAGTTTGATCTATGTGAATGTTATTAACTTTATAAAAGTTTCTAAAAACAACAGATAGATAACAATAGATTTGATAATAGATTCCATCAGTAGTCATGGAATTATTGTAAAACTGTGTTTTTCTAAACACATCAGGTCATGTTGTAGTAAAATAAATGATTAATAACCAGCCACAGCAAGAAGGATAGAAATACAGTGATCCATAGCTATAACGCCGTTCACCTTTCGCGGTCTCGCTGCTTCGCGATTTTTTTTGTGCAGTTTTTTTTCACAGTACATTGTGTTCTGCATCCTGATTGGCTAAACCAGTGGTTCCCAAACTTTTCTCCTGCGCCCCCCCCAATGGTTTCCAAACATTTTCTGGGCCCCACCTATGGATTACAAATGGATGGTTGAACGTTGCGTGTGAGGCGGGGTTTCTAAGGATTCTTAGAGACTCCCTGTCACTAAGAAGGTGGGGGACAGGGGATAATGAACTTTTTTGGGGGTAAAATGAATGTACGTAGCTGAACATAGACAACATCGGTAGCCTACAGGCTACTTGTTAAGCTTAAGGTGCTGTATTGATATTAGCTAGTCATCTTTTAGCTAACATTACCTGCATCCAACAGCTTTACTCAACTCAGTCGGTTAGTTTGGAGGAAAACTGAGAAAGGTTTTTTGCGTTTTGCTGGTTTGGTGCCATGATTGCTGTCACANAGGTNTAAACCCAGTGCGAGCGTCGTAGCGCTGATGTTGCGTTTAAAAGCGGCTTGGAAAAACAGGTGACCACATTTTACCAATGGATTAAACAGTTTTAATTGCTGATAAAAGTGACAGAGGACACAGATATGGGAAGTGCGGAAGCCCTACTGTATCAAATTGACAGAGGAATAACAGAGAGTTGGCCATTCTAAGGTAAAAACACAGCGCATACAGCGTTCATTTTTTTTCTTTTTTCATCCAGACGACTTTCCGCGCCCCCTGTGCAAAGGCACGGCGCCCCCCCCTAGGGGGCACGCCCCACAGTTTGTGAACCTCTGGGCTAAACAGTCTCTGCGGTTCTTCTCTACCTGTGTGCCAATAACGTTACGGTATTTAAATACAAGTAATACAGCTTGGCCATTCAGGAGATGAAAACTGAAACTTTGAATGCCTGCTGGAAAAAACTGGCCAGAATCAGCACAAAACCCGACTGGAGGCTCGGTTGATGAGATCCATCACTCTGCCGTAGATACAGCTGTGAATCTCTCGGGGCAGGTTGGAGGAGACGCTTTAATGACATGACTCCAGATCACATTAAGGCCCGATTGATGCACACGCACATCCACTGACCTGAAAACAGGTTTTGTTCTTGGGTTTCAGTGTAAAGTATTTATTTATGCTGTGTAATAACTGTAAAAATGAAGGTAATTATGTAGAGGAATATAATTATACTAATAGTTAAAAGTCATGTTGTTGGTTGATTCATATTAAGATATGTTTTGACTGAAAAGAAATGCACTGGGTCAATCTGACCTAGAAGTCAGAAAGGAACTCATTTCATGAGTATAGCACCTTTAAATTCCTCTATAACTACTTCATGGATTTCGCCTATCACGGGTTATTTTCGGAACGCAACCCCTAAGAAAAACAAGGGTTCGCTGTAAATGTAGTTTACTTCATTTTTTCTACAGCAGGAGAAGTTTTGTCAAAAAAGCGTAACAGGCTAAATTTCAAAATGTTGTAAAAACTTTTTTAAAATAAAAGTTTGTGGGAAAAAAACAGTCCACAAGCATCCTCATTCCAAACACATTCACTTAAATTTTCACTTTATGGTTCATGTTCACATTTTTTATTGGCTGTATATCAAATATATTTTAAATTTAACTGAAGATATGACATAATACAATATATAATATTCGATAAAATACAAAAATTTAAATCTTATTGCATAGACTAGGTCAAATCACTACGTTGCCTGTAGGAATTTTTAATGTCCAACTGATGCCAGTATCGACAAAGTTTTGCCATGGGTCGAAACGATACATGACACCTCAACTACCCATCACTATTGTTGGTTTATAAGGCAAAAATGACTCAAAAAGTGTCTTGCGTACGTTACGTCTGCCATAATAGCAGTTGGGTTGTTGGAGGACAGTTCAACTGCCGCAAGGAGGCGGGGCAGGCGTCATGTCTGTCGATAAGTATGACTGGTTTTTAGGTTTCTTGAGAGGTGTACAAAACACGAATCACTAATCTGGAATCAACCATTCCAAGTCATTCTCCTGTTATCAGTTTCATTCCCCAGATCTAAAACTCTTCTTCAAACTCTCTGCTCAGCTAAATAAATTCACATTCTTCTCCTACACACCCATAAAGCAGAAATCGACCCACGCATCTAATTTAATAC